CGCCATGATTAGGGTGAAACAAGGACACCACCTTAAGCAAAAAGAAATCCCTATACCAGAGATCAACCTTCTTTGTGAACAACAAGGAATGGTCCCTTGCACAATAGTGCTGCCAGCTCAGAAACTCTCCTAGAGAAGGTGATAGCAACCAGGAAAACCATCTAGTATGCAAGATCCATCAGAGATAAATTCCTAATCAGTTCAAACAAAGTACCAGAGTGAGCTCCCAGAGTCACTGCAGGCAATATCAGCTTAACAGGCTTAATCACTTTAGTTGATGGCATGTGTGTACAGACTAGTATTTAACCTCTTAATGACGTCCATGGTACGTCACTGGGCCTGTTTAAACAGACTCCCGGCGGCTAGAGACGCCACGACTGTTTACAAATGTAAAGCCGCCTGTCAGCATTACAATAGAAGCGATCTGGCAACTCAGCTGTCACTCAATCGCTTCTCCGGCCGCACCCGTAAAACGGGCCGCATAGCCCCCACCCTCCGTTGCCCCTCCTACGGGCCCAGCTTCTCTGGTGTTGACGGGACGCTGGGGAGCAGATCGGCGAACGTCCGTTCAACAATCCCCTCCCCGTATTATGGGGCAGAGAGCGATGCAGATTACATCGCTTCCAGTCCCATAGCGATCTGCACTTCAATAGCTTATTTCAAGTGTAAAGGTGACACTGGGGATCTTTTAGAGCCCCAACATCACCTTAAAGAGGACCTGTCACTGTCAATATGCTATCAAACGGGGGCATGTAAACCCCCCTATGTGATAGAAATTGAAAAAACAAGTTTAACATTAATATTAAATCAAATAAATGTAAAAATGAAAAAAAATGTTTTAAAGTCCCCTGCTTCCACATAAACACGTACATATAAAAAAAAAAAGAAGAAAGATTGTGCTGCACATGTTGGGTATCGCCACGCATGCTGGAGTGAGAGCAATAATTCTAAGGCCAATATTTACGCGTATATCTAAATTGATGACCTGTGGGGGCTTTCAAAGCGTCGTGTATGGACTTTTTGGGGTACTGAATTTTGCCGGTTTCACGGATGCACACAATTTTTAGCCTGGGCATGTTGGTATCTATTTACTCGGTGTAACCTCATCTTTTACATTTTATAATGAAAAGGGTATGCAATTGTGTTTTGGGGCATTTAAGGCCATTTTTCACTAAATTTTGGGGTTTGATAATACGTTGTGCTAATATCGTGCAACATAAACATTTGAAACTGCCAATATTTTATTCTACAGGGTCTTGGCTTTCAGAAAATATATAATGTTGGGGGGTTTTAAATAATTTTCAGGCCTAAAATGTGGATTATAACATGGGAACAAAAAAGGCCTCGCTCACTAAGGGGTTAAAGTGTATTTCCACTTGTGCAGTGAAATTTGTTCGTTATGTGTTTCTGTTCACACAGCATACTGAAAAAGAACTTTAAAAAAAAAATTCTTACCTTTTTAGAAGTTTTGTTAAAGGAGAACTACGAGGGGAGTGATTTTCACAACGTGTGACAATGAGACGGTCACAGGTCGGCTCAGTAGATCGGGAAGTGAGCGAACACATACCGTCGCTCGCTCACTTCTCTATCTATCCCTGAAGAGCCTGTCACTCAGGCTCCCTGCAGGAATTCCCCCCTCTGATCCTCCAGCGCTGACTGGCGGAACGGACGGGTACAGCTGGCTCTGCCTCTCGACAGTAATGTCGGGATCCGTCCTGCCTGCGGCGGTCTCAGTATACCGTGAGCTGTAGTTTTCGATATACTGAGCTTTGGGTCACGGTAAGACGCTATTTATGTCCTCCCGTGACCATTAGGAGAGCCATGGGGGAAAACATTTACCCCATAGTTCTCCTTTAAGGCATGCACTATGGCTGATTCCATGCTTTTCTCAGCGGTCTGTCCTAATGGAAAGACTTGGGACTGAAATTTGGGGATTGTGTTTATCTGACAAGCTTCATTAACATACAATGCACAAGCCACTTCACACTGCCTCCTAACATTTCAAAGAACCAGAAGCAAGAAACCCTAACATAAGTAAACTTAATTAAAACTACAAGAACCTTTTTGTTTTTCCGCTTATGCTAGGTGTATGGGAACATGTAACAAATGTGTTTCCACTTTCACAGCCAAATTAAGTTCACATGAATTTGATTGGCTAATTCTGAATACAGCCACATCCCTAGTTATAAGAGGGTACACTTCTGCAGTCACATTCATGTTTTTTTTTTGCCCTCCGACTAAACAATTTGTTTTAAATTGAACAGCAAATTGGTGATGTTGCCAAATTGCAGCCAGAAACAGTGCCTTAGATCATTTTTATATTACAGCTATAACACCTTGGGGCTGAAGGTCTAGAAATGCCTAAACCAGTAATTGAATGCAATGTCAGGAAACTGCTTGGACACAATTAGCTTTTATAGATGTTTCCTAGAACAGCCCTACGCTTCACTTTTTGAGTTCAGTTCTACTTTAATATTATCTTGTCACCAAGATGCAAAATGGCAATAGAAAGGGACAGAAACACACTATCTGCTCTCTGCCTTTATTTACTTGCAGTACAACATGTTCAATGTGCAGTTAGTTAGGGAAGAGGTCAGGAGGGGTGTTTGGGGTGCCATTTGAAATTGTACCACAGCACACATCCCACAGCAGAATTTGTGAGCAACCACTAGGACACATCTACACAACCCTGTGTAGCTCCTTTTTTTTTTGTTTTTAATATACACTAAGAATGTCAAGTGAAAAATTCAGCTTACAAACACCTTGTGTGTAAAGAGGAAAAAAAATAAAAACCCATTTGCTTGCGTAGGATTAGACAAACAAAAAGGTGACATGGCTTACCGAGTAAAGTAGAGCAAAGTAAAAATGCTGTACTCCTTTAGTAAAGCAATCCTATTTTCACTGGAATCGATTTGATTCAGTTCTTAATAGCTTAACTGCCAAGCCCAGACTAATTTAGGTTTCAGTAAAAAGGAGAGGGCACTGAGCTTCAGCAGCACCTGATCCAGTTTAGGGCTGCAACTAATAGATGTAATCGTTGACAGCGATTCTCATTGTTGATTATGGGTTAGTTGAGTACAGCGCTGTAGCCAGCACACAACTAGGAGTAGAGTATTTTCCCTGCTGCTGTCCCCGTGCCTCTTATGCTGCCGGTAGAAAGCGGGCATCAAGTATCTATTAGTTATTTTAAATTGCAATAGCAGGCTAGTTATTGCACCCAGCCACTGCCTGCTGTCAATCAGCAGCATAGGACCTGAAGGAGAACTTTCTCCATCAGTTCCCTCCTCTGCCAGTTGACACCAGGGAGTGCGCGGGTACAGTAGCCAGCCTGCTATTGCAATAAAAATAAAAAAATAGCCAATAGCAGGTTGGCTATTGCTCCCAGCCAGCTGTGTTTACATTCAGCTGCCACAGCAGGCAGCTGTCATTCCCCAGTGAAGCGGAAAGGGTACATTAGGGGTCTAATGTCACCTTAAAGAGAACCCTTCATCTCCAATGTACTAACAGAAGGCTTGTGAGCCGACCGACATGCACACGGAAACTGACAAATTCTGCTGTGGTATGTGTGCTGTGGTGCAATTCATTTCAAATGGCACCCCAAACACCCCTCCTGCCCTCACTGAAACAGCCAACTAATCGATTAAGAAAATAATAGCTAGTTGCAGCGCTGGTCCAGTTTCCATTTAAAATGGAAGCAATGCATGCGCAACCCCTTTTGATACACCTGCCAAGTACAAAGGCTTGGTAAATGTAAGCAGATTTAAGTGATTGGGACATGTCTAATACACAAAGTATCAACCTTCATTTGGCAAGCATATTGTCCGCCGGGTTTGGTGAATCTCCGATTGATCCACTTGTGGTTGTTTTTTTTTTTTTAAAGGAAAAGTAATAAAACCGGGAAGGTGTGGGTAAACCACTAGGACACCCCTGTGTAGCTCCTTTTTTTTGTTTTTAATATACACTAAGAATGTCAAACTAAGCATTGTAAACAGTTTACGAACTACAAATTGTCCCGTCATGTCACACCAGAATGCTGTATATGATTTAATTCTGAAACATTGGATGACCGTTTATAAATACACAGTTTAAAAAAAAGATCAGACTTTAGTACAGTTTTCCTAAAAATACAATTAAAATAACAAAATATAATACAGCAACAAAAAGGAAATGTTAGGTCATTTATGGCAATTTCCTGATGTTTGTGAAAGCAGCACATGAAATATTTGCTCAGATTTCGGGGTTTACAAGTCTGTGTAAAAAAAAAAAAAAAAAAAAAAAAATCAGCAATCTGCTACATCTATGTACATGTTTTTCAAGTTAGCATTTCCTCAATGCTGTGAACAAAACTATAGTAAAATACTTACAAGGAGTGTCTCTTGGGGTATTTTTTTTTTATATGCATTTTCAGGACTGAATTTGTATTTTATTCAGTGGCACAGCTTCTGAAGTATTTTACAACAAACTAATACACAATTAATATTAAATAAGACATTACCAACATAAGGTCCACAGTAGAACAGTACTGGAAGTCTTTTTTGAATGCAGGCAGTTGTACACATTGTTTTGTTGTTCCACATTCTAGCTGGTTGACTGTTTTTAGACAAAATGAATGCACTAAAGACTATACTGACAGAAAGCCGTAAACATTTTTCCATTTCAAATACAAACCAATAGGGCTGATGTAATGTAGTCCAAGCAACTGGGAAAATCAGAAGTGAACCCAGTTTTAATTTTAGAAAGACTTTGAGGCAACAAAAATATTATTGTTACTAAAGACTACATTAAACAAGCACCTATGATGAATTCATAACCTGAAATTTTAAAACACAGAAGTACAAAAACCACTATCAAAAGCAATGACTAAAATACAGTACCTTTCCATTTTGTACATAAAAATTTACGTAAAACTACAGAATAAAACTGTTTACATCTTTTTTCCCCATCCTATAACAAAAAAAAAAAAATCATTTTACATACATATTTACAAATATGACAACTAAAACAGAATTTTAAAAGCAAGTCTTAATTTCTAAGGTTTTAAAAACGTACAAGATCTGCTTGCCTGAAAAACCAAGTAAGGCACATGTAGACAATATTTAAAGCGAAACATTGTAACGCAAAAAACTAGTCACTTATTCAGTGTCATACATGGCCCCCAAGAGGAGCAAGTTAACAAAAATGTACAAAATACAGTTAAATTCGGTAAGGAACAAGAATATTCACCTGACAATTCTAATCATTTCAATACTGAAAGTAAATTAAAGGGAGGTTTACTTTTAAAAAGATTAGTTGCTCAAAATGTTCCATCATTAGTCTAGTTTGGTTAAAACTCCCACTGTCATTTGAGGTGTTAAAAAGCTTCTCTGAAGGAACAATGCTGGGTGGACAGCCAAGAAATCGGACTGCCAGCTTCGACAAAACTGGCCATGAGGCTTTCTTTAAATTCCAGTAAGTGAGCGGATCACAGTTATGCTCCAGGACCTCTTCTTCCAAGTAGGCCAACACAATATCTTCAGGTAATTTCTCTTTTAAGTTCTTGGACTTTTTAATGTTGGCCATGAGCGACCAAATATTGTCCTCCTTGTGGTTAGGAGAATGTTTGTTACACCCGTTAAGAACAGGAGACTCATCTGAGGTAGAGTGAAGTATTTCCAGTTCCCTGATTAATCCTAGTTTGTACTCCTCGGCTTCCTCCTCTGCAAATAAGGATGCTTTGTACCGAGGGTCTAAAAGCGTTGCAAACACATATCTTGGATCATGAAGCGTGGAGGACAAGCGACAAACCATAGCCTCCTTAAGTGATTTTAGCATGGTGTCTATTCCCATCGTCTCTTCAAACAACATTTCAATCTTTCGGTTAAGTATGTGAATCATTGGAATTACCTGACTTAAAGTAGCTGTGTGCATGCTCATTTCTTTACTGGCAGCTTCGAACGGTTTTAATGCGTGACAGACAGACTGCATGACCTCCCATTGGTCACAGCTTATCAACTCCCGGAAGTTGCATTCGATTGACATTTCATCAATTGCCCTTTTTTGTTCAATTAACCGTTCTAACATATGAAATGAAGTATTCCATTTTGATGGGACATCTTGGATCAGTGGATGAGGTGGTAATCCATAGTCTTTCTGGAGTTCTGCTAGCTTCTCCTTTGCTCTTGTTGATCTGTGAACGCGTTCACAAATTTTTCTGGCGATGCTAAGCAGATTTTGAACCATTCTTTGACTCTTAATGGCCTCATTTACAACAAGATTGATAGTGTGCCCAAAACATTCAACACTTGACCGGTCATTTTCATTTAATGTTTTCCCTATGCTGTGATTATCAGTAACGGTGATGCCGATCTGAAGCCCAAATGAGGTAATCCAGGACTCCCACAAGTATTCTAGATGTTTTTGAACGCTGACACCATTATAGTCACAGTCAATCTGGGAAACATGCAGAAGTGCTGAACAGTGATAGTCTTCGTTGTGTGGCTTAAAAGATGAATCAAAGGTAACCCAGTGAGCAGTAAGTGTTAGATATTCCCGTGTCTGACTGCTCATCCAGATCCCTGCTGTAAAATGTATCACACCACTCTCTGCTTCTTTTAAGTGGGACACAATTATGTGTTTCACATTTTCATACATATCAGGTATAGCTGTCCTAGAAAAGTAAGATGGGGATGGTAATGAATATTGAGGCTGAAGGTATTCAAGTAGTCTGTTGAAACCAACGTCATCCACAAATGAGTACGGTTGAAGATCAAGTGCAATCATTTCAGCTACAAGACTTGTGATTTTTTTGGCAACAGGATGAGTGTCACTAAATTTGTCATTGGTTTCATCAAAGGAGGAGGCTGTTAAAGCAGAATTAACAGGCAGATGTACATCAGCAGATGGCGAGGTTTCTGAAACACCATTGCTTTGCAACACATTGCTGTGAAACCTCTGCAAGTGTCTCAAAAGACAACTGGTGCCCAAATTGGTTGGTTTCTTCCCTCTGCTTATTGTGCGCCCACAGTGCATACATATTACTTTAGTTGAATCTGCAGAACAAATGGAAAAATGATTCCACAGTTTTGAGGTCTTCTTACTATTTGAAGGAAAAACAACCTGATTATCGTGTACTCCAACAGCTGACAAATCTGTCATTTTTGAGGATGAGCATTCGGCAGATGCTAATGTAGCATATGGAGAATTAGCCAGACTGATGTCAAAACTTTTTTGGTTTAAAACGATTTCTGGATGCCGCCTATAAAGATGTCTCATTAAACAGCTAGTTCCGAAATCCCCATTCTTACCTCTGCTAATCATGCAGTTACAATACCTACACACAGCTTTCAAACTATCATTTGGTGATATGGTAAAGTGAAGCCAAACTTCAGATTTCAACCTTTTTATAGTTTTTTTGTTTTGCTGAAAGAGGACAGGTGTATCATATCCCGAGGAACCACGGCAAGCCTTTGCCTTTTTGGGAGAACAGAATGCTTCGGCCACATTTTCTGAAGAATGCAGGACTGGTGTTCCATCATCAATAATTAGGTCATCATTAGAGGTACAGTACTGCAAATCTTCTGACACCCTGTCAGGAGATGGAGGTACAGAAACAGGATCTTTTGCCATTTTCCCTGGAGATGCTGAAACAGAAACAACCTCTCCATCTGCTGGTAAAAGAGATGGCAAAAGTGTAGGAGGAACAGAATAAGGAGGTGGCAAGCTTGTGCCTCCACTATTCTCTTGCAGAACTATTGAACGATGAGCTCGCCACATATGCCTTATTAAGCAACTAGTTCCCAAATCTTTTCCATTCTTGCCCCTGCTAAATTCATTCATGCAGTGGATGCAAACAGCTTTTGAGTTATCCAGTGGAGACAAATAAAAGTGTTTCCAGACAGCAGATCTTCTTCTAGAGCCAGAGGAATTTTTGGGATTGGAAATCGGTTTCTCTGTGGTATTCTCTGCATTTTCATCAGACTGGCTGTTTGGTAATGCTGAGGGGGAAGCGGAAACATCCTCTTTAACATTTTTCTCAGATATTGACAAGTCTGAAGAAATTTCATCAGAAGAAATAACAGATGAAGGCTCTTCCACCACCTTATCTGGAGAGATCTTTGTTGCAAGTTTCCTTATTTTTGTAGGTGTGACACTAGTGTCCACAACATCGGGAGGCTGCAGAGGTAGTACTAATGTAGGAGGAGAATATGAGATACCTGAAGTATTTCCATTTTCAGAAACAAGTACTCTAGGGTGTGCCCTTCTTACATGTCTCATGAGACAACTTGTACTAAGGTCTTTTTCATTTTTGCCCCGACTAAATTCTTTCATACAGTACATGCATATAGCCTTGGTACTGTCTCGTGGAGAAATGAAAAAATGGTTCCAAGCTGGGGACTTTTTTCGATTGCTTATGTTTTTATTGGTAAGCATGCTTTGAGTAACAGCTTCCATTGCTGCATCATAGAGTGTGGTAGTGTACTGTGAAAACAGAACTCCATATTCTTCCTCGTTTTCAGTAGATAAAGTTTGTGAGGTATCAGGGCAATGTTGTTCTTTTTCTTCTTGTTCATCGCCACTTTCTTGTTTTAATTCAGTTTCTTCCATTTTTATTTGTGCATGGCTGACATCGCCAAGTATTTCATCATCTTGTTCAACTTTTATGGTGCTTGTTTCCATTTTGTGAAAGAGACCCCTTAAAATTATATCCAAAGATCAGTCATGGAAAATACTCTTTCTTCACATATAATAGGAGATTTTGTTTTGTCTTCAAAGGTCACCAGAAGAAAGTCAACTTGGTCAACATGAACATCCTTTAAGCCAATGGGCAATTTACCATATGGAGTTCCTTTACATAAAGTACTCGTGTCATCTAGAGCATTTACAGCCTAAGAAGAAAAAAAAAAAAAAGAAAAAAAGAAAGTTAGCCTATGTTCTGGCATAAAATGCAAAGTTTAAGACCATCTAAAACCAATATTTCATTTACGGAGAAGACCAGTAAGTTTATGGAAGCAGATACTGAATATCTTAAATGCATTTGCAGCACCACATTTACATAGAACAGCAAGGTATTTGTCTTCAGAAATTTAAAGCAACAAAAAAAAAACCATCTCAACAGCAATACTATGGGAAAAATGCAGGTTTGTACTTACCTGTGCTACTGACATGCCAAAACATTGTGCTCTTAGAGCTCATTTACAGCTAAGCTTTAAGGTTCACTCAGTACTGCAAGTTAACACGCGTTACATGTTAGTGCGTTGTGGTGCCATTAGGTAATGCTGCTCTAATGTACATGTTTGGAAGTGCACCACCAAGCAACGTAATGCACTGCAACAGTACAAAAATAAATAAAAAGCTGCATTTATGTTTCTATGTCCAATCTGGTGCATGGACAACTCATTCAAAATAATTGGGCTCTCTTAACACAATGCACGTTAACACATAGCACAAGAACATCAAAGTGTGAAAGGCCCTTACAGAGCTCCGATGTGCACCAATACTATTCCACACATCCATAAGCGTGCAATAGCACATCCGCCACTGTGAACTTTTCCCACCAATCTCTAGGTCACCACTTTGTCCTGCGGTATTTAGAGGGTCGCTGCCAGCACAATTTGAAAAACCAGAGGTATTAGCACACACGGCTCTGCAAGAGAGCTGTCTTTCCGACCAGTTGCTGGACAGGTAAATGTAAACCTTCTACTTTCCCGACAGTATTGATGTTCAGCTATTTCTAACCCCTGACAGGGTCCCTTTAAAATAAATTATTGCTTCCTATGTCAGGGCCAAAATTTTCCCAGCAATGCTCATGTCTCCATTCATTTAATGCTGTATTCTTCATAGTGACAAATTCTGTGTAAACAAACAATTCAGTAAGACAACTAAATAATGTATAGAATCTAGTAAGACACACTACTATAATGGTTGTGACAGACAGGCGAAGCTGGGAGCAGAAATCCTGCCTCTAAAGTCTCCAAGAGACACATGACCGACAAAAACAAATATAAAATGATACAGTCACAAAGCTGATTTAAAGCAGAACTAAAGTATCTCTTTAGTGCAAACACTTTGAAATTGCAAGTTAAAAAGAGCGCATGCCTGCATACTTGCAAATCCTTTACATTCCACATTATCCATATCCCTTCTTGACTAGTCTGTCTCTCAGCATTAGTAGGTAGTGATTAAGGGGCGCTACTATCCGAGGAAGGGATTTAATAATTCTCTGTAGCTCTATTTCCACCTAAATCCTCCATCCTGCCTGATTTTTTTCAGCAATTTGTTTTAGTAAATGAAGCAGTCAATCAAATGAGAACGATTTCCTTTGCCCCTTATGTAAATGTATTAGCAAAAAGAGTGGTAACCTCTGGGCAGCCAAGACGTCAGTAGGGCACCCAAGACGTCAGTAGGGCTGCAACCAACTGGACGATTGATGAGAATAGTTGTCAACTATTCTCCTTATTGATTAGTCGGATTCCCCAGCTCTCTTCTCTATGCTGGAAGGGCACAGCAAGCAGTGGGTGGGTGCAATAGCCAGCCTGTTATTGGGTGTTGCAATTTGAAATGGCCAATAGCAGGCTGACTATTGCACCAGCCCACTACCTGCTGTTTTTACATTCAGCTGCCGCCTGCAGAATCTTGCCACTGGCAGCTGTCATTTCCTGGCTGAAGCTACTAAAGCACCATCTGCTTACGATACAAATATAAAAAAAAAATATATATTATAAAAAGGTGGAAGTAATTTTCGGCCTGACATTCTGCTGCAGGAGGTGAGTTGCAGTGCCATTGATTTCACTGGCACCCCAAATGCGCCTCCCATCTACAGTGCGATTACTTGCACCGGAACGCACAGTACCACAATGCCGTGCGATTGCAAAAAAATTGTGCATGCAGTTTTATTCTGAAGTAAACGTTAGGTTTGTAACACTGCATTTGTGTAATTTACTTTAAATTAAGGATGGCATTTAACTTTTTTTTTTTTTATCGGATTAATCGGAAAAAATTTAATCGGCCAACTAATCGATTATGAAAATAAATCATTAGTTGCAGACCTAGAAGTCAGAAAATCCCCGATCCTGCTTTGTGCCTGCTTAATAGTTGAGAATCATTCTGACATGGCCACAAGACAGTTTTGAAAGTGTACATGCATGCACTCTTTAACCTAAGATTTCAGAGGCCACATTTAATGCGTTACTTCTGCAGACAGATATTCTTACAGCGAGACTTTTGTTTAACAACTTCCCCCTTGCAAAGTATACATGGCAGCTGGATACAAGTGTGCATCTAGTGCTTGTGTACAAAATCCCTGCGGCAGAACAAAAACATTTCCATCTGGCCACCACTGTGTGCTTTACATCGGCTGCATTCAGCCTTCTACTATAAAAACACATGGTCACTTCAGCAACCATGAACATATAACAGAAGGGTCCCCCTAAGGCCCCGGTCACATTGATCGATTTATCGCGCTATCGCTCTCCAATGCTTCTCAATGGGGCAAAGGGTCCTGCTTTCGCGGGTCGTGTGTCGCTACAGCAGGACCCTTTTAGGAGCGGATTTAGCTGCGATTCAAGCTTGCTCAATGCAAGCATTTGCGCGAAATGCAAATCACGCGACAAACGTGTGATTTGCGACCCGCTCAATGTGAACGGGGCCTAAGGCTGGGTTCCCACCTGAGCGTTTTTTATGCTCATTTTTTTGTTCAGTGAAAACGCACATTTCACTGGTGGTATGATTTTTTTTTCCCCCTTTATTTTCTCTATTTGAATATATATATATATATAACCAATGGAAACGCGCAGCAAAACACCCAGGTGGGAACCATGCCTATAGGCAATGATTGGTTTTCACATGTTAAGCGTTTTACAGCGTGTAGGAACGCGCTGTAAAACGCCCAAGTGTGAACCAGGCCTAAGACTTCTGCGTACACTAATAGCTGTCTTCAGTGGCTGACAAACTGCTGATGGCAGTCATTCATTCAAAATCAGAACCCCAATATAAAAATGTTCAATATTTATTATGTAACTATATTTATTTATAAAACTCTATACATTTTTATCTTTTAGATTTAGTAAAATGTATCTGCTTACTTGCAGCAGTTGCTTCTGGCAACAATCTAAAGTAAATCTTTACTTTAGATTGGAGGAGAGTTGCTGAATGACAGAATGTACCCCCTCCATTTACAGAACTAGTCACATAGGAATACTTTCATAGTAAATTCTGTGAATAGAGGAGAGAGCTGAAGGGGCGGGCCAGTAGTGCAACTTTACACAGCAGGTGCCGACAGACTGCTCTGAGGGCTTGTTCCAGTGTATTCCAACGTGGTTAGTGGCTGGAATGCACTGGATCGCATAGAGCAAGGCTCTCAGCATTCTGGGGCTGAAGGAGGCGTGGTGGTGCATTCAAGCCTATGGCATCACAGCCACGCAGTGCGAACGCCCGCATCAGACGCGTGGCACAGCAATAACATGTACTTCTAATGCTTGTTCTTGTCATCACTCATCAGTTTAAACACCAATTAAGAAAGTGATGCTCATTCACATAAACTTGTAGACATTAGTCTGTGTATGGGTACTGTAAGATGATCATCAGATAAACCTGATAGTACCATACCTGAAGCAACCTTTTCCAAAGGCATATCTTCTAGCACCTCGAACACTTCTGTACAATGTCCAAATGCATCACCTAGTAGTAGAGGAAAAAAAAAAAAAAAGAAGGTCAGCAGACATCCACATAAAAAGGTGTCTACCAAATAAAATACTGACAAACTGGTTATACCAATGCAAACCCAGTGACAAAAATCCAATCTTTAATATGCTAATATAATTTCTACAGCCAGCCATTTTCAATCTATTTATATCTACAGCTTTCAAATGACACCCGATAGTTCTCCTATTAAGGTCTTTACTTGTGCAGGTCCCGTTATGGGGTGACCATGCTTTGTCTCTCTCCTGAGCCGTCACCACATCACATGCACGTCCGATGCAAACTAAGTGGCCTTGCCAACGGATAGGTGTCTCCATCCATTTTCACCATTAGGAAACTGGCCCAAAGAAACATGCAACCACATTTGGAGCACATGAAAGGCAGCATGTGGCTGCAATAAGGATAAAGGAGATGAAAAAAGAAAAATTCTAAACTAAAGCAAAAATGAATTGTTTATGACAAAATTATTTAGTGAACTTAAAACTCTGGACAGGATATGGACATTGTAATATTTACATACGCTTTGAAAGATTCTCAGCTTTGTTTAACTTATGCTTGGTGGCTTAGCTCCCCCTCTCCCAGAAGCGAGTTGGCATCCATCTAATCTCTAATGTAAACACAGGAACAGGACAGATGAAAACGAACTGTAAAAGACTTCACTGCTTCTCCTGTTAACTTTGAGAATGAATAGCTCCACAGTGGCTGTAACAGAGGTAAGTGAGGGCTTGCTTTAAAGTTTGTTTATTTTCCCCCCACTACTTATGTAAATATTTGAATTTCCATATCCTGTCCAGGGTTATACTTAATGTCATCCAGTTATAGTGTAGATCAGTTTTAAAATTACTAGGGATGCACCGATATATCGGCCGAAAATGGCACTTTTGGCTAAATGCCAAAAGTGCCATCTTTGTGCCGATATGTCGGCGCATCCCAGGTTTCTTTCCTCCCCACAGGGCACTGCTCTGTGTTCCAGCGCGGAGGAGAGAAAGTGACAGCCGGCCGAGCGCTGCGGGAGGAGAGCCCTGCGAGCGCTTTGTGGGGGCGGAGACAGCGCTGTCACAGGAGAGCAAACACTCAGTGACCGCTGAGTGCTTGTAGATAATTGAGGACATGGTATGGGTACTGTATCCTCAATTATGAATGAATGGGAAGTGAGATAAATCACCTCCTGTTC